AAAAAAAAAAAAAAAAAAAGAAAAAGAAAATGTTAGAAATAACATGAAATCACTAGCATAGGAGGGCCTAATTAAATGATTTTAAATATACGCAAAAGGGTATTAGGTAGCTATTAACTATTTTGAAAAAAAATAGTTATGGTTGTAAAATGCTATAAAAAATTAAGAATCTGGAAATAAATTTGAATGTATACTATGTTCTCAATATTATCAAACATTTGTAGAAAAATCCGTTACTGGTAAGAGTGTATTTTGTAGGATGTATTCATTCTTTCTTTCTGTATTTTTCGATCACTCTATATCAGTTCTTCTCAAATGTTGCTCTACAGACATTTGGCACTATGGTGACATAGTGCCAAAAATGGTGACATTTTTGTTTATTGCAGCTTAGAGAAGAGTCCCTACTGATATCTGTTGAGTAGAGTCCAGCAATGCTGCTGAACAGCTTGCAGTGAGTAAGACAGTCCCCAATCGCCCACATAGCAAAGAGTGGTCTGGTCCAAAGTATCAATGGTGCAAAGGTTGAGAAACTGTGCTGTACATTAGATTTGCACTTTATTTAAAATAGGAAAATAAAAAAGGGACACAGCATTAGAAACACAAACAGGACAGTTTAAATATTAATATAATACACAACTTTTCTTAGACTAAAAATCATTATTTCTTTACATATAAGAAATTGGAAGCTGTGTAATGTTCAATTCCTTTGGTCTCTATAATACACTAATGTAAGCATTCGAATGTAGGTGACAAGAATCCAGCTTTTCCTATTGAAACACTCAGGCTTATTTTCAGCTGTCTAAACCTGAATTTCTCCAATTCACGTGCACTTCTTGAAGTTGTTTTCTAAATCCGTGGGGCTCATTTTGGATCTAAATTGAAGCCTAAGAACAGCCTATATCACACAAAGCTTTTGGAAACAAAGGAAATTACAATTAAATGAATGCTTATGTGAAAATACTTTTATTTCCCATCCTACCAAAATAATAGCTTCACCTAATTAAACCTTAGGAATAATTAAACCATATATAAAGCCACATATATATATATTTATGTGTGTATATATGTATATATACATATATATGTATAATACATATATATATGAAGCTTTATATATATACACATATATATGTATATATATATATACACATAAATATATATAATATGTAAATAAACATATACATTTATAGATAGATACAGATACATAAAGAGAGAGATTTGTGAGGATATTAAGAACATGTACAAAAACAACTCTAGTGGGCTTCCTGCTTTGTTTTTCTATGCTCGATTAGATCCCCACAATAGCCAGCCTTCTGGGTTGCTCTTGACATATCCAAAAGAATGAGGCCTATGTTTTACATTGTGTCCCAACTAACCAAGGGTACAAGTGTTACTATTCTAATCTATTCATAAGAATGTAAGGTCCAGGTCATTACCTTTTCAGAATTAATGCAGCTAATACATTGTAATTTGGTCTTCAAGTTTGCTTGAAGTCATAGTGGCCTGTGTTACTCATACTCAGTGCTAGGCAGGCTAGGACCATATGGGAGGCCTGGGTTCCAGTCCTGGTCTGGCCTAAAGCTCGTGAGTGGAGGCTTGCCCCTATAATCCCAGATATTCAGGGAGACTGAGGCAGGAGGATCACAAGAACAAGGCTAACCTGGGCAGCATAGAGAAACCTTGTCTGAAAAGGAACCACACATGGTGGTATGTCCTTGTAGTCCCAGTTGGGAGGCTGAGGCAGGAGGATTAGGACAGTAAGACCCTGTGTTTAAAAAAATAAAATAAAGTTTTATATAGCCAAATTATTTCTCATATGCTTATATCTAGCTTTTTTTGGTTATATTTCAGGAGAAACTTAAAAAATATTAACTGTCCAACTCCTCTTCACTCTTAGAATGATAGTCATTATGTCCAAAAAGTAAAACATGATTGTAAAAATAGAGAATGGTACCTAGATATGTTTTGATCCTCAATTCAAGTTGTAAGAAGTGTAGTGGAACCATTTCATTTCTAAGCTAAGTTTCATAAGAATTCTATGTTATAGCTGTTTTTAAAAATATATTATAAGAAGAGATGAGATAATCAACACTTATTTAATTATCCAGTGGCATTATCCTCCCTTAATCTAATCCTACATAGTGTAGCACAAAACCAGTTATTGTGTATTGCCGTGATTTGCACCCTCTTAATATAACCTTGTCTGACCATTATACAAGACTAAAAGAGATATCATCTGTGCTTTTTCCTTCCTTTTTTCTTCTTCATATCATTTTCTTTCATTTGAAATTGATGGGGTGGGAGTACCGAAGGTGGTGGTGAATGATCAGACACAGTAAGAAAAACTTCAAAATTACTTTTTTTTCTAAATAAGGTAGAGAATTATGCTTATTTCCATTAATTATAACACATTCTGTATTTTCCTCTTTGTGCATTAGTATGGAGTAGCAAAGAGGTAGAGAGAAGATTCATAGACTCTCTGTCTGGCCCTTTTGTATTCTAGGTTCTATAGATTTCCAGTTAACTGGTCAAATGGGTCTAAGAATGAGGTAGAAAGTGTTACTCCATCACCATAATATGCTACCCTCCCCTAGGGCAGGTTACTATAGCGAAAACTGTATATTAATTTGAACAGTGATCTCTTTTTTAAATTTACTATAAAAAGACACAGACAGATTACCTTTATTAGGCTTTGATATAATTATTTTTTCCAGAGAGATTTTTACTGTAGGATGCATGTACTCACTGGAGAGACAGAGAGACTGCAAATAAGAAATCACCTACTGGAGGGGATGGCCATGCTGCAATAATTTCTTCTCCATTCTCCTCTGGGGAGTTTGGGCACACATGCACACATAACCAGAGTGAGTTTGAAGCTACCAAGTCTGAGACTTGAACTGCAGTTGGCCATGTGGGAGTCCCACAACATAACCACTATAGCATCTGCTGGTCCCTACTTTTATAAGACTTTGAGAGTGCTACAAACAGTAAACAAACTACATCTAGTCAACTTGACTTCATTTTTTTCAGTTCTTTTCAGCAGTCATTGCCCCACTTTTGGGTTGCATCATCATATTTACCAACTGTATTGTAAATATATATATTTTTTTCCACATCAAAGATTTACACTTTAGGCAGGTGTGCATTTTTTTTAGACTCTCGATTGAATTCTGATGAACTCCTCAGATATTCAATTAACGTATGAATGATGTGCATAAAGTATATTTATACTCTGTGGGCTATTGCAGAATTACTTGTATTTTTCCCTGCTATATTAATGGTTCTATTTACTATTATACTAGTGGAAAATGAAGTTGTGTAATTGGAAACCGGTAAGATACTTTATAGCTTATTAGCTTAAGGTAATTATCTGCATGTTGTATTACACATTGAAAGGCAATAGAAAGTATTGCATTATAATATTTAGGAGAATTGGCAACCCAAAATAGTTAACTTGTTATAGCAACCGTTGACTTGCAATGAAAATGAGCACATTTATTGAAAGACATTTCTGTAACTTGTAAACAGTATGTTCCCTCTTGATAACTATTCTTTTTCTCTTGTTTCTTTTTTTTTTTTTAAATTTTTGTTTATTTATTTATTTTATTTTTTTTTTATAATTTGCTGCTTGCCCTTGCAGGAAGTAGAGGTTTGTATACAGCTTCTGTGTTTCACATTTTATTTGAGATTTTATACCAATTCTTAATTACTCATATACACTCAATCCACACTGTTTTCCCCTTTAGGATGATTATTTCCGCGCGTGGAGTCCAGGAAAACCCTTCGATCAGGGTAAGAATCTCATTATTTTAAAATAAAAATCTTCACATGTTTATAGTCACTGGACATTTAAAACCATTTAATCATCTGAATAAACTTTAAAATATTAAAGATGAAAACTTACATGAATGGAAAAGCACATGGAATAATTACTTTTATTTCAGTAAAATATAGTTAGAAATAAGGTACCTGGGCATCATGATTATTATAAGGATGCTTTTATTTTTAGATACATATTTGAGATTATGTGTTTAGACATTCAGACTTCACTTTGTCCATTTTGGGGGGATTGAAACAAGTCACCTTATCTATTTTTGAAATGTGTTCACAGAGCAGTAGATTCATTTGTTCAGTTTCAAAACAAATGGCTTGCCTGTCTCTTTTCCAGGTAATAAAAGTTCTCATTTAAAATGGAGAGGATCAATAATTAGACTCAACTGAAGTCTTAGCAGGCTCCCAAAGAAAGAAGCCTTATGCAAAACTAGTGTTCCTCCTATGGGAACCAGCAGTTGGCGTAATGGCTATGTCGCTGGACTCCCATGTAGTAGACAGCGGTTGACGTTCCGGACCCGGTGACTTAGAACTCACGCTGGGCGCGTGTGCGTGCGTGCCCAAGATCCCGAAAGGAGAATGAAACAGAAGGGATTGCGGCGTGACCATCCCCCCTGGAGGGTGATTTCTCGCTTTCTGTCTCTGTGTCTCTCTCTGTCTGGCGAGTGCACGCGCTCTACAGCGAAAACCTCTCCAAAAAAAAAAAAAAAAGTAGTATTCCTCTACTTCTGCACACACAGCTTGCAGTTGCTTACCTTAAGTAGGCAAAGCACAAAGTGTAGGTGGAATGGAAATATTCCTACGTGCTTCATGAGAACAGAAATCGCTAACTCAATGCAATCATAATTATATAAATGACTATAAGTGTTTGTTCACAAAATTTTATAATATTTGAGGCTGAATGGTGTCACAGCAGTATAATGTGGAGGTCTCTAAGGCAGACCCACATTGAGAGGTTACTGGTTCACAACCAGAGACCTCCCTGGGTACGAAGGGCTCACTGAAGCCAGGGCAGGATTACAACATCAGGACACTGCTAGGATGTTGTATCTCCATCTCTCTCTCTCTTCCTTTCTCTGTCTCTATCACTTATGGAATAAATAATATTAATTTTAAAAATTAGAGAAAGGAATTTTCATTTCAAAGTTTAAGACAAAAAAATCATTCTACTTTATGTGGAATATATTCATTCTACAAGATAATACTCCATGAAGTAAGATCACTTAGAAATCTTTTCAAGAATATTTAGGTAAATGAGTTAATAATACATTATGAAAGGGAGTTTAAGATTTTTGCCATGTTTCCAACTTTCGATATAATATCTAGGATAAATGCTATAAAAACCAACCTCTGTGAGTGAGAACCAATCTGTGTGGGCAGTCTTCTACATTGCCATTAATCTGGAGTCTAAAAATGTCATTTGTACCCAATCCTCCCTGTAACATTTGCTTCTAACTTTTACGTTTAATTTGATTTCACTATCATCATCCAGATTTTTACCTGTAGAATCTATATTTTAAAATTCAAAAATATTTTTTGACAGCATAACTAATGAAAAATAAGGATATGTAGACTGAGATGGGTTTGATGTTTTTTTGAGAAGTGAATTTTTTTGGTGGAATCATAAACTGTGAAAAATGGGAATTATCTGTGCAATGTATATAAACACTTAAATTTGTCATAGTTAGCACATAAGATATAAAGATGCAGCACAATATATTTTTGTTTGTTTGTTTGTTGGGGGAGGGGGTATTTTCCTATAGGGTGCATGTGCTCACCAGAGAGACAAGAGCTAGAAAGTGAGAAATCACCCACTATGGATGACCACACCACAAACCCTTCTCCTTCGTTCTCCTCTTGGGATTTTGGGCACATATGCACACATGCCTGTCATGAGTTTTAAGCTGTCAGGTGTAGGACTCAAACCATAGTCAACCATGTGGGAGTCCAATACCTTAACCACAATGCCACCTAGTGGTCCAATCTTTTCTTTTTGTATGTGTGATAATATATTTAATTACAATTTACTTCCTGTTTAAAAAAAAAAAAGATTGCTATAGAGAAGGCTTCTAAATTAAGATAATATATAAGACTGATTTGCTTTTTTTTAAAGTTTTTTTTTAATTTAGAAATTTTTTTTTATTGAGAGAGAGTTTCAGAGGACATTTCAGGGTGCCTTGAGACATGAATTGCTGATCACCCTTGTGGCCTCCAGCATTGCAGTCACGCTAACACCTGCATTACCATGACTAGGCCTGATTTATTTTAATTTTCAAAGACTCTCTAGCCTGCTAACTTGTTAAAAGCATCATATTTATCATGCAGAAAATAGCTTATGATAATAGTTAATATTTATGGAGAGTATTCTATATTTAGTCACTATCCTAAGTATATTATGTAAATTAGATAATTTAATCATTATGTTTATCCTGCAAGGTAGACAAGGAGGTTGAGGGATTGAAAGAGGTTAAATTCTTGCCCAGGTGGTATTCCTACAAAGTGGAAGAGTCCGAATTGGGATTCCAGCAGTGTGAGTCCTGAACCTTGTATCCTAACAACTATGTGCTACTGCAATGCTTAAGATTCACTTCAATGAAATTGTTATAATAATGATATTTTGAAGCTAGTTTTTTAAAATATTAATTCACTTCAACAAACAATAGAGCTAGAGCTTTTTTGTTTCTATATTTTAAACAAAATTCTGTGTACTATTAGGTTCCAGGGTTTGACTTAATGAGATATGTAGTTGATAAATATACCCAAAAAGTTTTGTATCAAAAAATGAAATAGCTAATAGATTCAGATATATGTATTTGTTTTTTACTTTGAGTCAAATTAACCAACCCATTTGTAGACCAGACTGAGGAGTGACAAAGATTACCTTGTTGCCTTTAGGTCTGAATAAGATAAATAGCGTGCATCATTTGTAGAGAATAGACTTAAGATATGCTAATTTCTAATATGTTTCTTATTTTTTTCTGAATAACAGACTTATTATTTTCAAACAGTGACTGATCAAACAGAAAATAAGATTATAAGTTTTTATTATTTTGGATATATTGGTTTTTTTTTACATCCGTGTCCCATCAAAATAAGTTAATTTTCTCCTATTTCTCTTTTTTGGGGGGCTTACATTTTCAAGACAGAGCAAAGAAAAAGTTGTCTTGGACTACAGTTTTATGCTGTTATTTATAAAATAGTTCCAGTCTGTTCTGTTGCCATTAACAGATAATTAATTTATAAATGAATAGAGACATATTCAGTTCATGGAGGTTTGAGGTCCAAAGTCCAGAGGCTGCATCTCGTGAGGGTCATTTGCTGCATTAGAACATGGTGAAAGGCAAGAATACATACATCTGTATCCATGGGTGTCTATTCTGGTTCATTTCCTCTCCTCATAAGCTCGCCAGGAGTTAATAATAGGTCTCCACATTAGTGACAGTGACCTTAATCCTAATCTCTTTTTTATTTTAAAGAATTATTTAGTTTTATTCATTAATTCATGTATTTTAATTTGACCAGAGTGAGAGAGATAAAGTGAGAAAGTTAGCCTCCAGGTCTGGGACTCAAACAGTGTGGGAGTGTCCAGCGCCTTAACCAACATGCCATCTGCTGGTCTCCAGTCCTAATTTCCTTCTAAAAGTCCTACCTTTAAGAGGTGTCATTGGATTAAGTTTTTACTTTTTAATCCCATTATAAACAAATCTCAATTTGCAAATTTGGGGGAGGAATGTACAGACCACTGCGTTCTGTTACTGACCCTCAAGACTATACATATTTCTCATATAAAACAAAAAAATTATCCCAATCGTCCCCAAAATCTTAACTCATTTCAGTACCAACTCAAAAATCCATAGTCCAGTATTTATCTGAGACACAAGGCCAACTCTGTCCAGCTATGAGCCTGTGATCAAAACAAATTACATGCTTCACTAAATATCTTAATAAATCTAAATATTTTCAATAGCAAGCACAGCTGAAATATACATATCCATGAACACAAGTCTGACTTTAAGCATAAACCTCAGTGAATAGAATGAACATAAAGTTGATAATAACACATATGTTGATGTGCTTGATTGAGCCAATATACAATGTACTGTGAATGGAAAAATCTCATTTTGTATGCTATAATGATGTACAGTGAATGAATGTAAATAAATAAATAAAAATAAATTTTAAAAAAGATAAAAAAAAACAACAAATTACATGCTTCCAAAATACAATGGTGAGTTGGATAGACATAGGAGAGATCCCACCTTTGTAAACTAGAGCTAATTTGTTTTTTACCCTTCTATTCCCATCACAGTCATGTCTCAGTTTTTGAATTTTGGGATGATATTCAAGCCATAGATTTAGATATTGATTTTAAATTATCTTTTGGTCCATTTTTATAGAACACTCCATAAAACATACATAAGAACATTATATATAGCATAGAAACATCATAATTAACTTTATAAAAATGTCAATTAATATTTCATAATATGAATGGTATGATTTTCAGGCATAAAACTCCTTACTACATATATACATCAATGTGTACAGATGTAAGTACACACATGTATAAAGATACAGATGCGTATTTATACATACACAAACACACATTTGCATCTACAAACTTGCTTCTAGATAGTATCAATGGATTGTGCACATGGGTCTTGTCTACCTTCTGACTTGTCTATGCACAGATTTTTTTATCTCATTTAAGTTTGTTTTCATCAGCACAATATTTTCAGTTTACTAAGAGTTTGGGGGAAATATAATGACTTCAGATGAGTTTAAGTAAAACTGTTTTGATGATGGTAAATTTGCTACAAAGTTAAAAAAAAAAAAAGTACACAAATGCCAAAAATAAATTGCTTTGGATTTCTCCACATTAAATTTTCTGTGCCATTACCTCTCATCATTAATATGGCTAATCAGGAGTTGATGCAACAGAGATCAACTGAAAAATAGTT